TGTTTCTACAATAATAATTAGAATAACAGTGTTGTTGGCCTTTGGAGGTTTTTAAGAAGAGACTGGGCAGCCATTTGTCCGAAATGGTATAGGGTTTCCTGCCTGAGCAGGGGGTTGGACTAGATGACCTCCAAGGTCCCTTCCAACTTTACTACTACTACTACTACTACTACTACTACTACTACTACTACTACTACTACTACTACTACTATTATTATTATTATTATTATTATTATTATTATTATTATTTGCTATTAATTTATCTGTTTTACTTAACCTTGAAGTCAGCAGCCCATATAGCCTTGATGTCTTTGAAGGCCATCTATATTGGACATCTAAAGAAAGAGGAGAAGTCTGGAAAAAAGACAAGTTTGGAAATGGAGAAAAAGTCAAACTGTTGACTATAAACCCATGGCTCACTCAAGTCCGGGTCTATCACCAACACAGATGCAACCAGTCAGGTAATGACCACTTTTTGAGGGAGGGAGGGAGGGAGGGAGGAAGGAAGGAAGGAAGTTCTCAAAAGTTCTATTCAAGAAGAGAATTTGGGAAAAAAATTATGAGTGGAATTAGATATTTTTGTAGTTACTGATCACAGGGTGGACAACAGACTGAAGTGTATGTGAATAACCTTTTCATTCAAGAACTTCTTAGGCTGCTCACACTTCCACTATATCCAAGTAAGGTCATCAAACCTGACTTTCTGTTCTTTTTTTACCCTGGGAAGAACAGGCAGGTAGGAAGGTTTCAGAAAAATGGAAATTTATATAACAGAAACAAAATCGGCAACCTCAGGACATTTCATTACTTTCAACTATAGTATACAATAAGTTCAAAACACCACCCAAAAAATTTGAATGAATTCTCAAGCATGTTAAAAATATGATAGAAGAATGGAAGCATCTTTTGTTGGGAATGAAAACCTATAGAAATTGAAGGGCAAATTATGGTATCATATCAATTTTTATTGTGTCCTACCGTTTATTTATATTTTATTTATTATTTTAACTTTTACTTTAATTTATACTTCTGCTCATCTCATGTTCATGACTAACAATGGTAAAAAAAAATAATAACATGAAACAAGAAATGACCAAACACCAATAAAGATCAGCCAAAGCAAAATCAAATTCATCAATTAAAAAAAATCAACACAGATGTTGTATGGGCTAAGTCTCACCTCCTGATCCGTAGAGCTAATGATGGAACCAGGTATTTTAAGGCCTACAAAAGACCCACAGAGCTGGGGCCAGTGTAATATTGGGAGGAGGGGATGATGGGCAGGCACCAGAACAGAAAAGGCTCTCTTCCTGGACTCTGCCAAATTGCACTCTATAATAAATGGTACTTAGAATACAGTTTTTCTGTTGGATAGGTAGAATAATCAGAGACAGACAGTCTCTCAAATCATCAATTTGTAGTTACAATTACCCAATTAGTGCCTGAGGTTACTTCCTGAGGAGCATTTGGCATCCACAGTCTCCGACTTTATCCATGTCAGTGTCTCTTATTGCAGTCATTAGGAAAAAAAGTTAAAAGGAAAAAAAAAGCATTGGGTATCTCAAATCATCCAAGGAGCCAGAGAGGAAGCATCTTGCATTTATTTTATGACTGCCATACGCCTCTGGCTCATCATATTTTTCTTGCGGCACAGACAGGAATGAGATCATTTCTTGCCTTCACCACCACCACCAATTTTGCCTTTTGATGCTTTGTAGGGCAAGGCAAGCTTGCTTAGGAGGTAGGAATTGGAATGTATGTTAAAATATAGTTCAAATAACTGGTAATTAATCTTGAGTTAAATAAAATAGAAAATGGGGTAATGGGGTTCCAGTCCTGTTGCTCACGGGACTGGAACTTCTGGTGCCTGGTCTCACGCCACCAGTTTAGTGCAGGCATGGTGATGCTCACTTGTCTAACTAGGGAATATTTGGCACGAATGTCTGCTTCCTCCACTTCTCACCTTTTTTAAAGCCTTGTGCCAATGGGAAGCTTTGGGTTTTGTAATTTCCCATAACCTGACAGGTTACGGGACGGTATTTTTAACAATGATATTTAGCAAAGCTTTTTTTTCTCAGTTATGCGCACCTTGGGTTAAAATAGTGAAAATACCAATGCAGAAGTAATATAAACAATAATAATGTCCACAACTGGAAAGGAAGGAGAGAGGAACCAGGGAGAAAAAAAAAAGCGGAAAGGGAATACAATCCCAAAGAACAATTCTGAGCTTTGAACCAAGTTCAGGAGACCAAGGACCGTTCTATCTGTTCTGAGGTTTATCTTGATGCTCCCCCGTTTCCAATCTGATTGGCACATTGAGCCTTACGAAAGGCATTCTGATGCCTCTTCGTAATAGTAATAGTAGTAATAGTAAGTAAAGTTGGAAGGGACCTTGGAGGTCATCTAGTCCAACCCCCTGCTCAGGCAGGAAACCCTATACCATTTCGGACAAATGGCTGTCCAGTCTCTTCTTAAAAACCTCCAGTGTTGGAGCATTCACCGCTTCTGGAGGCAGGTTGTTCCACTGGTTAATTGTTCTCACTGTCAGGAAGTTTCTCCTTAGTTCTAGGTT